GAAGGAAGGAAGGAAGGAAGGAGGGAAGGAAGGAAGGAAGGAAGGAAGGAAGGAAGGAGTCGTTACGTACTATCATAAAACAAAATCTCCAGGGGGAGGGGAGAGACCATAAATTGAATTGTCACTTTCCACAGCACATTCCCCCCCTCCCCTTTTGACAAGTAACACCCAGGAAAAAAAAAATTAAACAAATCAAACGATTGGCAAGTACCGTTTCCAATGAATTAAAAAAAAAAAAAAAAAAAAAAAAAAAAAAGGAGGTAACACACCTTTTCAAAAAATAAAAAAAAAAAAAAAAAAAAAAAAAAAAAGAAGAAGAAGGAAAGAAAACGAGAGCCAAACTCTCAGGTGGCGGGGGAGCGGGCAGTGTTTTGAGGCACACCCACGCCCACGCTGCCCCGCTGTCCCCGCGGTGCCCCCCGGACGCTCCCGGCGCTCCGCGGGCGCGGCGCGCTCGGGCGGCCGCGGCGGAGCGCGGGGCGGCCAATCAGAGCGGCGCCCGCGGGCCCTGGCCAATGGCAGGCGCCACATTGTTGTCAAATGTTGCCTAATGGCAACGCGGGCCGCAACAATAGCGCGAGTGGCGGCGCGGCGGGCAGCGCGCTCCGCTCCGCTCCGGCCGCACGCACCGCCACCTTCCCGGGGGGCTCCGCGCCCGGCCCGGCCCGGCCCCGACCGCACATCGGCCGCCTGCTCGGGGCTCGCCGCGGCCACTGAGCCCGGCTCCTCCCGGCTGCGGAGGTGCTGCTCGGGAGACGGGGCGAATTTTATTTTATATAATTATTTTTAATTTTTTTTTTGTTTGTTTTTGCTATTCTCCGCTGGATTTTAGCCTCTGCGGCTCGTGGCGAGGGATCCTGTCGTTGAAGGTGCCGGATTGTTCTTTGAAGGGACGCTGCTAGTCTGTGGCTGCAGTTACAGGGGGACGGGGGAGCGGAGTTTAGGGAGCAGCTCGGGTTGCAGCGGGGCGCCGTGGGGAGCGGCGACCCCGCAAGCGCGGACGGGAGAGCTCGGCTTTGAGCCTGGAGCGATGGACTTGGTGCTGCCCCGCCAGATGCGCACGGAGAGCAAGGAAGCGAGAACGATCTAAGTTTTCTTGGATTTTCTTGTGTTAGCTTTGATTTTCGGGAGCGGAGGGGAGGAGGGCGCGGAACGGCTCCCGACGGGCCCCTCCTCACTTGAACCCCGCTCCGGTGCCGTGTGCCGCTGCGGGGGAACGGGGGCGTCGAGCGAGGCGAGAGGACAGGCGCTGGGGTTTGCATGCCCGCTCCCGGGGCTCTGTGTGCCCCCCACTCGTGATTGCGCTCGAAGGCGCCGGGAGCCTCTCCGCGCCCGGGCTCGGGTGCGGCGCAGGGGCTCCCCCGCCCCGCGTGGCTTTGGGGGAGGCCGGGGAGGGGGGGCCGCTCTCTCGGGGCGGGCTCGCCGGGATGGAGCTGCGGTCGGAGCTACCTAGCGTGCCCGCCGCGCCCCCCCCGGTGCCCCCCAGCTCGGTGGCGGCCGCGGCGGCCGCGGCGGCGGCCACGCTGCCGGTGAGCGTGGCCGGGAGCTTGCTGCGGGCGCCGCCGCTGCTGCTGCGGGCGGCAGAGAAGTACCCGCGGACGCCCAAGTGCGCCCGTTGCCGCAACCACGGGGTGGTGTCGGCGCTGAAGGGCCACAAGCGGTACTGCCGCTGGAAGGACTGCATGTGCGCCAAGTGCACCCTGATCGCCGAGCGCCAGCGCGTCATGGCCGCTCAGGTGGCGCTGCGCCGGCAGCAGGCGCAGGAGGAGAACGAGGCCCGAGAGCTGCAGCTGCTCTACGGCACGGCCGAGGGGCTGGCGCTGGCGGCCGCCAACGGCATCATCCCGCCCCGGCCCGCGTACGAGGTGTTCGGCTCCGTCTGCGCCGGGGGCGGCGGCGAGGGAGGCGCCGGCGCCTCAGGTAAGGCCGCGCTGCGAGCCCTGGGAGCGGCGGTGATGGGCGGAAGGGGCCTGGAGAGGCGGCGGGAGATGAGCGGGGCGCGGACCTGCGGGCGGGTGGCCCGGCCCGACGGCCGGGGCGCTCCGCGGAGCTCGCCCGGGGCAGCCGCACTGACGGTCTCTCTTCCTTCTTCCCCCCCGACTCGCAGAGTCCAAGATGCAGAAGTTCGAGCTGTTCCCCAAGACGCTGCTGCCGAGCCGCGCCGTCACCCCGCAGCAGGCGGGCGGCAAGCCCCTCTCCCCGGACGGCGAGTCCGTGCCCGGCACCTCCTCCCCAGATGCTCGCCACGGCTCGGGCTCGGAAAACGGGGACGGCGAGTCCTTCCTGAGCTCACCCGTCTCCAAGGGCCCGAAGGAGGGGGAGGAGAGCCCGGGCTCCATCAGCCCGCTGGGCTCGGACTCGGGCTCCGAGGCGGACAAGGACGAGCAGGACCCGTCGCCCTCGGCCGGCGGCCGGCAGCGGACTCCCATCGACATCCTGACGCGCGTCTTCCCGGCGCACAAGCGCAGCGTGCTGGAGCTGGTGCTGCAGGGCTGCGGCGGGGACGTGGTACAGGCCATCGAGCAGATCCTCAACAACCGCGGCCCGGAGAAGGGCCCCGAGGAGGGCTGGGCCCGGGACGGCGCCTTGCAGGGCCTGCCGCCCACGCCCGCCGCCGCCGCCGCCCACCACCGGCCCTTGATCGCCGGCGCCATGGCCCCGGCCATCGGCACGCTGGGCAGCCGCTCCGCCTTCTCCCCGCTGCAGCCCAACGCCACGCACTTCGGGGCCGAGGCCGGCGCCTACCCCCTGGGCACCCACCTGGGACTGAACCCCCTGCGCCTCGCCTACTCGGCGCACAGCCGGGGACTGGCCTTCATGACCCCCTACTCCACGGCCGGGCTGATGCCCACGCTGGGGTTCCGGCCGCCCGTGGACTACGCCTTCAGCGACCTGATGCGGGACCGCTCCGCCGTGCACAAGGAACAGGTGTACTCCGGCGGGCTGTACGGGCCCATGGTCAACAACACCCCCGAGAAGCAATAGCGGCTTCCTAAAGCTCGGCTGTGTAGAGGTAGCTAGGTAGGCGCGGGTGGACGGACACGGGTGGCTTCCTCTCCCCCCCGCGCAGGCGGTGGTTGCGTGCAGAGCCCGGCGCGGACAGGCGTAGGTGTATTGAGGTGATAAAGGTGCACTTTCATTGTCCAGACATGAGTCGCTCTTTGTTGCTTATGGCCATAAGCATGGATATCCTCAGCGCGTCGTGGGGTGTGCACACACACGCGCGCTCTTTCCCACACACATACATATATATATATATGTATACTAGCAAGTGTATAATGTTATAAAATGGAAATCTAAGTTATTAATGTAACTCGTAGGTGAACTTGGTATTAACGTTAAGCTAAAGGTTAGGCAGCGCATTGTAATACTTACCAGGCATATAGATGAAACACTGTCAAATTGAAAACCTTTTCCTTCCCGCCCCCAGAAACGTTATGGTCTGTATATAACATTGGAAAGTAGATATATTTGTAACTGTCCGTAGGACCCCGGCGCCAATGGTGTATGATGGTTTAATAAGCCTCCTTCATTTGTGATCTGCAAGAAAATTGCTTTCTTGTTCCGATGTAGCAAACTTCTTGCTGTTTCTAACAGGTAATTCTGTGTTTCCATTTCATAGAAATAAATGTTATTTTCTATTAAAAAAAAAATTGGTCTTATGAATGGCAAGTGGTATTTTATGAGATGATGGAAGTGTGTTTTGGGAAATGCATTTGACAAGTACAGTCAATATTTAAAGGAGTTTATGCAAATAATACAAACATGTTTATTACATTTTTATCATGGTCAAACTAGATATTCTTCAGATAAATTTATAAATAAAATGAAGCATACAAGCAAGAGCAAATTCCTTATCTATTGAAATTGTCAAATACGTTTATTTCTGGTTCTGGTCTTTTCCTCATTTATGCCTGTGGGGAAAAAAAAAATAATCAAACCCCAACAAACCTACAGAGGGTATCAATTTAAGTTGGATTTCTCCCCTCGATATCTTGATGTTTTTTGTCATATTTAGGAAATTTGGCATTGTTGTAAAGAGAAGCCCGCTTAAAGCAAATCCCACCTTGCAAACCACGGATTGTGTGGCAGCGGTAAGGTTTTACCCCTCGTATCTGAAATCTGATTGTGCCTTTCAGTTGCTTTTGTGTCAAAATAAGTGAAGGGATCTATAATAATGATGTTTTGCAGAATGTAAAGATGTGTTTGCGGCAGAGGTGGATGAGTTAAGATCAGCGCAGGGAAGGTTTCTCTGTTTTTTGGAGCTGTGTGTCCTTCACCCTTATCTGAGAGTAAAGGCTACTCAAGTGGCTTTTTAATTTTTTTATTTTTTCTTTTTTTTTTTTTGGCAACGGTGTCCAAATGTTCTCCGAGATCAAAAAGTAAGAAGGGCTTTCCTGCCTCTATTTATTTCTATGTTGGGATGAGCAGAGGGCAGCGGGCGTGCCCCGTGCATCCTGAGAGGCGATCCTGCTGAAGGCCGGAGCGTGACTTTCTTGCCAGTCTTGGGAGTGTTTGGCCCAGGAAAACTATTACTCACAAAGAACAAGTTCAGTGCGTGGTTGAATTAAGACTGTAAAAGCTCCTAAAGTTGGTTGGTATGGAAACCTAATCCCAGCGAAGCGCTCCGTGGCACAGCTGGACTGTTTACTTTCTCACTTCAAATATAACTGTGTAAACATTGGCCGGGAGCTGCCAGCGCGGCTCCTACCAACCAGTTCATGTACTGGTGGGGCTGGGAGGACAGGACTCCCACCACAGCCATGGAAGGAAGCTCCTGGGTAAAACCAAATTGCATCGAAATGCAATTCTTCCATCCTTCATACAATTGATCAACGTGGATACAATTTTAAGATTTTCTTAAAAAAATAAAAACCAAAACAAGCAAAAACCGACCCAAAACAAAAACCTGACCAAAAAAAGTAAGTAAATATTACAGATTACACCTAGGCAAATACTTTTGACCCTGATCCATCCCGGGAGCAGCCAAATCAATATCACATGGAAAACTTTTTAAAGTCTCGTGTTCCAAGAGTGGGTGAAACTTAATATTACTACAATAAAACGGTTTAATAAAGAAGGGCTTTAATAGTGAGCTAATTTGATTGAGTTTCCTAATTCCACTTTAATTGGAAAAGGAGTTGTCTGTTTGGTTATAAAGTGCTAGGGTTATGTTAGACTGGGGAAAAAAAAAGATGGACGTTGAGCATCTGAATAAACTTTTTTTTTTTTTATTTTTTTTTCCTTTTTTGGTTGGCAGCTGACTTTGTGCAGGATGGGTTTCCATATCTAGGATTATGAACGGGCTACAAAGAGCTGCTACTTAAAGAAATCAGGTCGCCACATTTCTCCCATTCTAGCCCTGTTGAGAAGGGCTTAGGGGCTGTTGATTTAACTCAGCTCCCCTTTTAATTATAAAAGCCATTCTTGTGTAGTTAGGCGAGCAGGACAATTTATCAGAATTGTTGCCGTGTCTTGGAGGTTGGCTTGAGCTTGGATTTATACAACCGACAATGGGGATCACGACGATTAACTTTCATGTGGGTAGTTTAGGCAGTTAGATTGGGGGAAGGAGGAGGGGGTGTGAGAGAATCTGATAAATAGTCGTACTGAAGTAATTCCCGTAGATTTTAAAAAATAAAGAAAAAAATCCCTTGGGTTTGAAGCTGCCTCGGAAAGGTTCGTATACAGAAGCCTCTGGCAGAACATAAAATATTCAGGTCCTTTTAGAGTAAAATAAAATGCTGTCGCTTGAATAAAAATCGGCGGAACTGAGTATAAATTATTTGTGAAGCAGAGAGGCTGCGGGCGAGCGCTCGCAAACTTCCCTGTTAATTAAATCTTAATCCACGGGTCGCAGGAGCGGCGGAGCTGTAGCAGCGGCTGCTGTACATACAGCGGGACACGTTCCGCAGTTATATTAACTGCACTCGTGTTTAATATGAATCAGCCCTAATCCACAGCATAATAAAGATCAAATTAGACTAACCATTTAGTAGCGAAATGACATTCCTTCACCTAAAATGAACCTCCCCGCGCCCTGCTCGCTGCGAGGCAGCCGAGGCAGCCCGGCCGGGCGGCGGGACCCCGGCTCTGCCTGAGCCCAGCGGACTGAGCGAGGCCGGGAAGGGGAGCGGGGGGGTCTTTTCCAGACTGGCCAGTTTATTTTTCAGCCTGAGGGGGGAATCCCCGCTCCCCTCCCACGCTTTCCAGAGCCGCCTCCTCCCCACCCCTCCGCAAGCCCGGCTGGCCGCCGAGGCTCGGAGCGGGGTCGTGTCGCTTCCCCGGCCCTTGCCCGGAGCGTCCCCTGCCCGCTGCTGGGGCCAGGGGGACACCCACGGCAGGAAAGGGTGGCGGTCCTGCTTCCATGGGGTTCCCTGGGCAGTCAGGGCCGCTCCAGCAGGGACAGCCGTGGGTTGTTTTACTGGAGACCGAGGAGCGAGGAGTGTCTTTCCCTCGGCCCCGCGATCGCCGCTGTCCCGGGACTGGCCGCCTCTCTTCCCAAGCTGGAAACCACCCCGCAGCCCGGCGCTGCCCGGAGAGGAGGGGAGGGATGGGATTGGGATGGGACGGCCCCGGGTGTCCCTCACCGGGCGGGGCGGCCTTTGCGCGGCTCTGAGAAAACACAGGTGCCGCCGGTGGCACCGCTTGAGGGAACGCGGCTCTCACCGTCCCACACTTCGCCTCCGGCCATCCCTCCGTGCTCCCCTGGGCGGGGGCGAGCCCCGGTACCCCGGGTGGCTCCCGGGCTGCTGTCACCGGCCGGAGCGCAGCCGGGGTCAGGCACACGAACTTCCCACGTCCCCCGGCCAGGGGACACCTCTGCCTCTTCTCACGGTGCGGGCATCCCCCCCGTGCTGTCACAACATCCCCATGGCAACTGCGGCAATCACTTCTATGCCAGACCAACAATAGGAAAGTATTTAATATACTTAAACGTGATTAAGCAGGTGGAAGGATCGAGGAGGAGCAGCTCCGTAGGAAGAGCCGGCGGAGGCTCCCAGGGAGCCCCGGGGGCTGCAGCTCGCCCGGGGCAGCAGCGGCTCGTCTGGAACTCAACAGATGGAAGCGAGAGAGGGACGCAGAGTTACAGCGGGAGAGGAACGGAGTGTTTTACCGATTTCTGCTGTCTTTAACACCAATTGGAGCACGTGAAAATTCGTTCCGATTTCCATCTCTCGGATTTCGACAGAAATACTAATACACCGTTGCAAAAGAGTACTTTTCCCCCGTTACTGTTCCTTTCTAGTTTCCCCTTTATTTTTTTCTACCATTTTATTAGGGAGAAAACCAAAAAAGCCCCACAAACCAGCTGTTAGTCCTAAATTCGGAAAATAAAAGGCACGGAAAAGAACCCTGAAACTGCACAAAGCTAGTTTGTATTTCATCTCCAAAACGAGCTTACTAGAAAAAAAAACCCCAAAAATCCTTAAAAAAAAAAAAAAAGTAAATTTAAACACACGTTTTAACCTGAATATTATTCCCTTTCAGCCACTATCCCTTTTTTCTATGTCATTCGGGAATCTAGTAACCAACGGAGGAGATGCTCCTGACCCAGGGAGCCACGGCCACTGCTGGGGCGGCGGATGGTGTCCGGCCAGAGCTGCTGCCTTTCTCCGGGAGCAGCCGGGGCTCAGCAGCGGATCCCCTGGAGCCGGGAAACCCACCTTGCTCTTGAATTCACCTTTAAATTGTGTGCCCGGTGGCTGGATCTGGTGGGAATTAGCGAGTGCGGCGGCAAAGGAGGGTGCGGTGCTGATGCGGGGGAGGTGCCCTGGGGCAGGAAGAGGTTAAAGGGTGAGGGGATGAGCTGGCTCACCCTGGCTGACAGCGGCGTGAGCTGAAATAACCGGAGAAGGTGTATGGACAAGAAATTCTAGTGCTGGATAATGCCTAAAGGTAAAAGAAGAGTGGAAAGGAGGGAAGGGCTGAATTCCAGAACAGAAGAACGGGGCAAGGGACTGACAGGGTCTTAAGCTCACAGG